CATTAGTCTTACCTACTTCATCATTCTGACTGACTTTTATTTTATTTTAAAATTTTCTGTTAATCCTCACCAGAGGATATTTTGGGCCCCATTCCTTTTCTGAGAGAGTGGAAGAGGATGGGGGAAGGACCCAGTGAGGGAGAGAGAGAGAGAGAGAGAGAATGAGATTGACTGGTTGTCTCCTGCATGCACTCAGCTGAGGATGGGGAGTGAGCCTGCAACCCAGGTATGTACCCTCCATGGGGAATCAAACCCCCCGCATTTTGGTGTGTGGGCTGACTCGCTAACTGAGCAAGGAATCAAACCCCCCGCATTTTGGTGTGTGGGCTGACTCGCTAACCACTGAGCAAGCATCACTGGCCAGGGCCAAGTCACTGTTATTTACAAGAAGAAAAGGACCTCAGGGGACTCATCTCCAAGTCACCCCAACCGACTAGGCCCTCTGGCCAAGTTCTGGGCTGTTTAACTAAAATGGTTAGAGCAGAGCAGCCCCAGCATTGTTTCCCGCATGATTTCCCTTTTTTGAGGTGCCAGCGACTTGTTGCTAAAGCACTGAGGGCTGGGAGGGGACCCCCATTGACTTTTAGAATCACATTGTTAATGTTAGACTTTCACGTAATATCAAGTTTTCATGTTACATTGAATAAATCAATCAGGTGTTGTTATACATTGTTTTGTTTGTATTTCTAGACACAGTAGCTTTGTCTGTGAGTTTTGGCTTAGCTTTCCAGAGACAAGTGATGCTACTCTACACCTGGTCCTGATTGGCTGCAGAGAATATGTTCAATGAGGGTTAGCTTCCACTTACACACAACTGCAAATGCTCTTTGTCGGGAATTCTAGGTTACCTCATGCTCTTTGAGGGCACGAGGTGGGGGTGGGGTTGGTGCTGAGCAGAGGAAGGCAGCTGCAGAACGACGCTAGAGGCCCCTGTTTTTCTTCCCTGGTGTCCGGAAGCTGTCTCTAGAATTTAGCTCTTTACACCAAAACTATAATTATTAACATTGTCATCAGCGAATGTGGAAAAATCACCTCCCATATAAGAACAAAATCATACAGAAAAGCAACAGCACAGCTGAGGAAGAAGCAAT